TACGCCAACGTTATCTATAGACACGGATCGGATTTCGCGTAGATTTATATCAGCGTAGCAGCTGGTATTGCATTGTCGTATCATTTCAGCGTACCTTCGAGAAATTGCGGAAAAGCGTTAAGGCGTTCGATATTCAACCGTATTACATGCTTTCTTGAAATCGATGAAAAGGTAGTTGTGGGATTAGGTACTCTTGAAATCGTTCTGTAAGCTGAATGCGCGCCACATAGATTTCTTCGATAGTGGAACATCTTTCGAGGACGCCGATTTCCTTTTCATAAGCTGTGGTAAAGATACTAGCACACGGCAAAGCAGCAGTGGAGTTCAGTTCGGTAGGCGTGGTGAGGATGAAAAGAAAACATATGTGGTATGCGACGGCAAGTGGTAACACTATAAGGTTGAAGAAATTAGCTTGAAAACGGAGGATCTGCTAGAGTTGTTATCCAACTCTCGATATGGAGAACGTTCCATTTCTTTTTCAATGTCGTCGACAGCATCGAGATCCATTCGACTGCTAATCTGCCCGAGCTGTCTAAAATGGTCGGTGTTTTTGGATTACGGCAACCGTTTTCAAAGCGAGGCATGAGAAATGCTGCTCAGTCTGCAAGCCGTTTCTGTTGAATTTCTGTCTCACATAGGAATTTCAACAAAAGAAATTCACAAAGCTGCCGAATTCTCACGTATAGCATTGCTTTCCTGCTTCTATAAGTGTGAAATGATGCTGTGCTCATCCAGTATTCTGCCAGTCCTGATGAGGAAGACTCGAGTGAATATGAGCAAGCAGGGTTTCGGAGAGGGCTCACATCATAGATCATATTCGCATAACAGGGACTCCCTGTTATGCGAATATGATCTATGATGAGTGAGTGCCACGGCAGTACAGTGCGTACCAAAAGTATGTGGACACCCTGGAATCGATTCTCAGGGGTCAGCTAAAGGCTTTTATGTCATGAAACCTCACCATTCAACTCCTAGTGGTCGATAACCTACAATGATATTTTCGGCAAAAGATTTCGTTCTAACTTAGCAAACTATTTTTGATGGACTTTTTCTCTAGTATCAATAAGTATGAGGAAACCATGATTCAGTCACGTTTCTGCACCAATTTCCTAACCTATTTTTACTTCTCCTTTCGTTACTTATTCTGGCATCATTCCTCTTCACGGCAAGCGTTTTTCTGAAGAAGACCGAGCACAGAAATGGGATCCCCATGCTTCTGAACCTTCCTATTGCGAAATAGCACGTCAACCAGTCATGCGTCCTCGTAGGTTTGGAGAGAAATCCGAAATCCTGATGCTAAGCTCTCGACCTTGACTGAGGGTTCGTTCTCAATCGCTACTTGTTCAAAACTACAGAAGAATTGCATTTACTGTTTTGAATCTTTTTGCTACTGTTCAATTTCTTGTTTAAGATGGTCTTCCCTGCTCTCAAAAAAGACCAATCGGTGTCCCATTCAATCAATTGAGCACACGACACGAAAGAAGATGAAGAAGGCTTCGTATATGAATGCGGGTTCAGGTTGGCAAGGTTGGATTCGCCATTCAAAGGAAGGATCAGAACATAATACCCAAGCAGACAGCACTTGCGCTGTGAAAGCACTGTGAAAATGATGAGAATAGAATAAAATACGCTCTGTGGAAATTCCTGCCTAGACAACCTCGACTGGTGAGTGCAGTACAGATATGTACTCAAAGGCTTTCCATGTTGTGTTCCGTAGACGTAGGTTCATCAATTGTCTGTGGTGGTTTCAAAAGGAGCGGAAAATTGAAGCACGGCTCACCGCATGTTAGGAAGACCACAGGGTTATAACGGGGTGCCTGAACTCCGGAAAATTTTTTCGAAACACCAGCGTCACAAAGCACTCGTTTTGTAGCAAGCTCAAACGGAAGTTCCCGACACGTTCTCCGTCTGGGAAGAAGGCAAACGCAGAATATCGGGTGCTGGATGGGCTAGAATCTTCCACCACATCGCTTTCGAAAACGTAAGGAGATCGTGGTTCCCCCATCGAATGAAAAAAGTACCCCATATGACCCAAGCCGTTGGTGTAGTTTACCTGGGGTACTTGTTAGGAGCAGATCGACGATATGGGTATCGGGAGCATGGTTCAGAGCATGGAAAACAGACCTAAACTCATGAAAAGTTTTGATGGGCCTATCGCTTCAAGATTCTTTGAATATTTCTGTTTTTTAGAGTATCCACATACATGTACTCTTGATACAGGGGAGAATTTCTCCAGCAACAAAAAAATTAAAGCTGCATGTAAATCGGTGAGAAATGAGAAATTCCGAAGTTCTCGTATTCGAGAAATTGAATGGTGTTGGTATCACGGTGCAATAGTCAAAGGATTCTGAAAAAAATTCCAGGGTGTTCACATACTTTTGGTGCGTTGTATAAGGTGCTCGTCCTCACATCTATCCACTTGAAAAGGCGTTCCTACTCTGTAGAGAAAATGAAGACATCGATGTCCTTGAGCAATCATGGACTCCACGCAAAGCATAAAGATTTTATACGAGCTCCGTAGCAGCTTCACGACGGGGATTTCCCATTCATCAAGAGATCATAAATATTAGTTTGTCCCAAAAGTTCGAGCATATTTCGAACTTTTTTGATTTAAGTTTATTTCAGAATCATGCAATATCAATGAACAAGGTACCATTATTGTACCATTATTATCAGCAACTTATTGCCAACGACTGGGCAAAGAATGGATGCATCGCTTCCAGAATTCCTGCCGTTCAGAACTGAAGAAGTTGGTGAGTTCATTTTTGAGGCCTTCCAGGAAATCGTATTTCTTGCTCGCAAGATGGTTTCTTAAGGACAAAAAATAGGTGGTAGTCAGACGGGGCTAGATCAGGCTGTATGGTGGGTGGGGTAGGATTTCCCACCGAGGTTCAGGATCTGGAGCTGTGTCATTGTCGAAACATGTGGCCTTGCGTTGTCGTGCAGCAAGTATACTTTGTCGAGTTCTGGAGAAAGTAGATGGAGCTTTCCGCCAAACTTTGTATTTGATTACAGCAGATTTGCTTGTAACCGTGGCGTTGAGAGGGAGAAGCTCCCAATGGTACTCTCCGCGAAAGATTATGCTGTGGGTCTGGTGGGGCGTGCGCGACCACCAGACCCACAGCATAATTTTCTTACTGGACTGATCTGAACGCACGACTGCTTCAGCCCTCTGGGATGGATCCAGCCACTGTCGCCTCCGCGTGTTACATAGAGGCACCACTTCTCATCTCCAGTGACAAGTTGTCCTACCAGTCCGTTCGGCGGGAGCGGGAGAGGAAGTTGTAGACAGTCAACCACGCTCAATCAGGAAGCTTAACCGGTCCAAATCCAAAGCAGATGACCGTCCCTGAAGCGAGGTTTGTCTTCCAAGTCGTAGTCCCCTGAGCGAAACCGATCGAACCATTTCACCACCGTGCGATGGGAGACGACATCAGCACCTAACGCAGAGCAGATGTTGCGAGTGGCTTCGGCTGCGTTGTGGCCCAATTGGAACTCATACAGTAAAGCGTGGCGGAGGTGAAGTTTTTCATCTGCCATTTTGTACAAGAAACAGCAGCTTATGCAGCCAATTACGATATGGGCTACCTTGTGCAATGTGCTCTATGCCCTCATGACCGTTTTGCTCAATCAATACAGAAAATTTTGGCGCAAGATTCCAAAAATACGTTCGAACTTTGGGCACAAACTAATAATGATTGTAATAATTGTACAACAACATAATAATAATTGTATTGTTGAAAAGAACTTGTAATATCGAATAGCAAGTGAGTAGGGCGAGTACTAGCAGATTTTGACAGCGCGTGTGCGAAGGTCTGTGTGCAGATGAACCTGACGAAGATTTATGCAAAGTGGACAGGTTTGTTATGCTCTAATCACTCTCATTTGGACGAATATCAACGAATGGTCCAGCTACGTAATCTTGGTTTTTGATAACGACGTGATGAATCCTTAGACCCTACCCCTTAGACCTTAGAGCGTAGTAGGACAAGCTAGCATGAAGCTAGCCGTATGAGGAGCCCTTCGAAAATCGAAGGCTGGGAGCTTCCTATGCACACAAGCCAGAGGGAAAATGAGAGTTCCACACTCTCTCGACGATTAATGATTAGGGGTGCTCTGAATAGAAATTGAGTATCAGTGAAGCCGGACACGTTATGTGATTTTGCGATGACCGTTGGACCAGAGCGGTTACCGACTGGATCCCTCGGGACGTCAAACGAACACCTGGACGACCGCCGGCCCGATGGTCAGACTTCTTCACGAAAGCTCTGAACGAAAGGAATGATGGAGCTCGTGTCCCTCGAGCGTAGGATCCTTTGGAGCACTCAGGCACGCAACAGAGGCGACTGGAGACTTGACTGGATATCGCTCGAAGAACTTACTAAACAACGGGATAGTTGATACCGGTAATGTCGCGTAAATTCGATGTGGAAAAAGCGTCTTTCCTTGAGCATTCTTCATATCTATTTATGATAGATAAAAGGAGGAGAAATGAAGAATAATTACGATATTGGTCATAGTATGTTCCGCGCACATACCACAACGAATAGTAATGGCAGTGGTTTGCTCTTTCTTATGAAATGGTTATTTGAGAGTGTGCTCTTTTTATTTCGATTATGAAAGGACGAAAATATGTATATACGAACAATCAAAGATGTATAGAACTCACGAAGGCACTTGCATTCCTGCGCCTAAATCCCCTACGTTCGTAGCGGCTGGCTTGTCACTGAAACTCTTAGTTATTAGTCGGATCATAACACCCTGCTCCTAGCGGTACTGAAGAGGTAAGCGCTAGCGTTGGAGCAAATTTTGTCCCCTGCCCTACTCGAGGACTTGTAGAATAATATTTGACGTTCAATAGAAAGATGAGCGAGCAACTCCTCGTCTATTTTTTGTAAAGATTCCTTCTATTCGTCATTGTCTTGCGTATGCTTTCACATCGAGAAGTGCGGGGCAACAAGAACGGATTTGGAGCTACGGATCAGAGATCCTGGGAATCTCTATTTTACAGCCTTATTGTTACGCTTGTTGAGACCTCGATTATTCGGCTTGCTTAGATAACAGTTTCGTTCTGACACAATCAGCCCTTTCTTTTCTGTAGGACGGCAGGTTTTAGTAGTGGAAGCGGAAGGCTGTAGCCTGGACCTACAGTTTTAATTGCTTTTTTTGCTACTTTTTCAACGCTTACAACAACCTGTTTTCTCCTGTACACCCCTTCAAAAATAATTTTGAAGGTTTTTCGCACGCCCATGCAGAAATTTACATGGAAGGGCAAAAATCGTTGATAGGTGACTTACAATTAGATTCCTACAGGGCTAGCAATAGCTAGCGGGGTAAGAGTTTCACATTTTCAATGGGTGTGCTCTTCTGCGTTTTTGTTCTGCTACTCTCTTCTATTCTCGTAAACCTAAAGTTTAAGCTGTTTCCCGAGCTTTGCCCGAAGAAGTTTGCTAGTACTGTTTGTTTGTTGACTGCTGTAGTAACTCCTGTTCTAACTCTAACTTCGAGTTGCGAATGTTACACAAGAATGCTAGGTGATTTAGAAAATTCGCTCAAGGCGAGACACAAACCCGCGCCTCTTCTTACCGGTCAAGTGCATCTCAAATTACGCTACCGAGGAACAGTTTCGCCGTAACTCAGCCTCTCGTATTATACCAGATTGGTCCTCTGGCAATCTTCCTTTCCCTGCATAAGTTTGCTCGCTCCTTCTGCCCCTCTGCTCCTCCCTCCTTTGCTCTGCAGCTGCCACAGCAGCACCTTGCGTAATAACCAAAGTGTGCCAAGCATACACAACCATGCTATTGCAAGACATTGATAGAGCAAGTCCTGCAGCTACCCAGATTTGTTTGCAGCTTGTTTCATTCCCTTAGCTGCCTCATCACGCACTTCATTTTGAGAGTGGACAGACAGACTACATATACACAGGGTGGCCGCAAAATATAGGACGCCATGTTTCTGTGTGTAAAAGTCACAAGAAACCGTCTTCACACAAAGATACAGTTAAGCTATTTGATCACTTGTGCAGAAGGTGCTTTGAATTTGACGACTCTCCTTCTGACGTCCAACGACAAAATCAGCAGTGCGCCGCAGGTAGCCAACGGCGATGTCGTCCCACCTCTTCTGAAGCGCTAACTTCAGAGCACCCACCGAGCTGGAGAAGTCTTATGAGGTCTTGCTCTACAACATCCTCACATAGAGGAGTCCATCGGGTTAAGGGCCTGAGAGGAAGAAGGTCACAATTCCTTGCTCCAGTGGCCTTGGGAAGTGAGCCCCCAGGATGGCTTTGGTTGATTTGAACGCGTATTAGCGATCACAGCTTTGTTGAAGAGCAAAGGATCATTGAACAAATCCTACTATATATAATTCGCTAAGTATGTCTGTGCGTGTGTATGTGTGTGTGTGTGTGTGTGTTTGTCACGAAATTCGTAGCTCGGGTCACAGCAACGATAGCGCCATGGTTCTTACATATGTTATAGGGGGTGGGATGGGGACACAAGTGGTACGTGATAGGAACTGATAACGACTGATAATAGCTGATAAGAGGGGCTAGAAAGCGAGCATCGCCAATTTCGTTTTGTCGTTCATATTGGTACTAGAGCGTCTATACTTACAAGTGTGTGTGGGGTGGTGGTACATGAATGAAAGCGATAGCAACTGATAAGGGCTGATAAGATGCGTTAGAACGCAAAAGTCGTCGATTCCGTTACCTGGCTCGCGTTGACACCAGAGCAACCATACTTACAAGTGTTATGGGGTGGGACGGGGACATTGTTGGTGGGTGATTGGAAAGTGATTACAACTGATAAGGGCTGATAAGGCGCGTCAGAACGCAAAAGTCGTCGATTCCGTTACCTGGCTCGCGTTGACACCAGAGCAACCATACTTACAAGTGTTATGTGGGGTGGGACGGGGACATTGTTGGTGGGTGATAGAAAGTGATAACAATTGATAAGGGCCGATAAGGCGCGTCAGAACGCAAAAGTCGTCGATTCCGTTACCTGGCTCGCGTTGACACCAGAGCAACCATACTTACAAGTGTTATGGGGTGGGACGGGGACATTGTTGGTGGGTGATTGAAAGTGATAACAATTGATAAGGGCTGATAAGGCGCGTCAGAACGCAAAAGTCGTCGATTCCGTTACCTGGCTCGCATTGACACCAGAGCAACCATACTTACAAGTGTTATGTGGGGTGGGACGGGGACATTGTTGGTGGGTGATTGAAAGTGATAACAATTGATAAAGGCTGATAAGGCGCGTCAGAACGCAAAAGTCGTCGATTCCGTTACCTGGCTCGCGTTGACACCAGAGCAACCATACTTACAAGTGTTATGTGGGGTACGGGGACATTGTTGGTGGGTGATAGAAACTGATAACAATTGATAAGGGCCGATAAGGCGCGTCAGAACGCAAAAGTCGTCGATTCCGTTGCCTGGCTCGCATTGACACCAGAGCAACCATACTTACAAGTGTTATGTGGGGTGGGACGGGGACATTGTTGGGTGATTGAAAGTGGTTACAACTGATAAAGGCTGATAAGGCGCGTCAGAACGCAAAAGTCGTCGATTCCGTTACCTGGCTCGCATTGACACCAGAGCAACCATACTTACAAGTGTTATGGGGTGGGACGGGGACATTGTTGGTGGGTGATTGAAAGTGATAACAACTGATAAGGGCTGATAAGGCGCGTCAGAACGCAAAAGTCGTCGATTCCGTTACCTGGCTCGCGTTGACACCAGAGCAACCATACTTACAAGTGTTATGTGGGGTGGGACGGGGACATTGTTGGTGGGTGATTGAAAGTGATAACAACTGATAAAGGCTGATAAGGCGCGTCAGAACGCAAAAGTCGTCGATTCCGTTACGTAGCTTGCGCTGACACTAGAGCGTCCCTACTTACAAATTCTATTTTTGTAGTGGTACGTGCACATTGTATCATTGTATGACCAGCTTACTTAATAGCAGTCGATTGCATAAACTCAATCAAGTCTTCAGCAAATGATAACTTTCATTTCTATCAAGAAAGCCCAACTCATTAAACCGCTAATCCTTTCGGGGTTCTAAATAATGGTGAATGTAAATAAATGATAAGCCTTAGCTCCTCACTTATGTAAATAGGCATATTTCATTTTCATTTTGAGACTGACAGCAATCCTATTCACCGCTAAATTATCTGAATTCAAGAAGAATGCTGGATGTTTACAGTTGTGAGATAAATATGCCAGTTCAGCTCCAGACGTTATCACGCGTATTCTTGATGGAGTACCTCATGCTGATATTCCATGGGTCCTTCAGTTTCGCTAAAGCCTGCCGTGTGATGCGCGCGATAGCGGGCGAGCAAAACTGGTGCTTGTAAATCCAGAACAACATATCATACCTCATCATACTCGTTTAGGTCTTTTGCAAGACTTTTGAGTCATTTAACATTTGTGGAAGATGAACTCCAATGGAGCTGCACTTTTGGATGTTACCCACAAACTACCACACCTTCGGGAGAAAGTCTGTTGTAAACTAGACGTTATCTCGGAGACTTGCTCTCACTTTTTGGCAACAACTGCCTCTGACTTTGGTGGTCGCAAAGAAGTTTAGTTCGAAAATTTTCTCATCAACCCAATCCGTAAGAGAGATGCGGCGCACCTCGAGCTCGTGCAGAAACTTTTTGCATTTTATCAGTTGAATCTATTCGGGTTGCTCCAGTAAAAAGCAAGGGTTGGTGACTCTTCAAATTGGGGCTTCTTTCCAAGACTTCCCAGATCCTAAGATCGAAAGCGATGTGACGCACGCTGGTTTCATCGTTGTGAGCCATCCTCTTCTAGGTGATTGCCCCAATCTCTGAGTGTGCACAGTTCTTGAACTTCCACTTTTCGCAATCCCAGAGACGTGTGCTTGAACCTTGAGAGCACCGAACATGTTTCAAAGAGTTGAAGAGGGAATACCGAGTCGCTTTCCTAAGTTGCAATTTTAGAGACTGTCATTGGGCAGCATCTTGGTAATGGGTAGGTGCAGAAGGCAGGGTCCGCTTTTTTGATATGTTGACGCCACTTTTCCCGATTACGCTTTCCGGGCACATCATTGTTGATGCCGATATACCGATATTGTCATTAATCGCGCGAAGAACATGGCCGTACCTATCGAAGACGGGCTTCGCGCACATTGTCGACAATTGGAGCTACACCGAACCGCTGCCTGATTACATCTTTACGAATTGGCTATATCTCACTGTTTGATAAGCGCAGTGAAGTGCACAGCTAAAGTGATGATGTAAACAACCACTATGCGTCGAGTATCGAGGTAATTTAGCGGTCGAATATCTCAAAACGGAATGCCCAGTATTCATTATCATATTTATTCGAGCATCCCATTCATCCTCAAGAACTCTAGAAGGTGTAGCGGTCGAAAGGTGTTTGAGTTTACAATTACAACGCTGATGAAATGATATTGAAATGAAATGCATTATCTACAATCTGCTCTCTATTTTCTATTTCAAGTGCTCTCTACGTTCGTACGCATATCGTTACTATCAGTCCTCATCTGTCGTTATCACTTTTTGACCCCCACCAAATATGTTCCCGTCCCACCCCCTATATCATGTCCCAAAATCAGCTCCTGACGACTGCTGCGAAGCGCACTATGAATTTCGTGACAGA